GCATCAACCTACTTAGGAAGTAATTCCGTCATATCACTGAGATGCCCTCCACAATATATGCTCAACCTTAGTTAATCATGACATTCAGTCATATTCTTGGAGATCCTCCACAGTATACTCTATCCAGCACCGTATCGGGATAAGCAATGCTAATTCACGTCACCACTTTTATGCACCGGCATTAACACCTTTTATCATTTCTGAACTTGCGACTTCTGTAAAGAATGTAGGGTTGCACAAGAATGCATGTGAGTAAAATGATATTGTCCACAGTTTAAATCTGCACATCGTTCGACACTGTAAAGTAAGGGCTAAACGATATAGCTACCGTAAAGCAAGAAATGCTGATTATTCTGATCTTGAATGCGTGAGTACATTTCATCTCACTTTGCTGTTACAATATTGCTGTTTGTTACTGGTATTATCAGATATCATTATAACTTGTATTTCCATACTAATCACCATTATTTTTATTTGTATTAGCATGGGATTTGTCAAAACGATACCGGTTGTTAATACATCGATACTTGAAAATTGACTAAAGCAGTCCTATACCAATTGATTCTTTGTAAATATTTAAGCGATAACGAATAACAACACCTTCTTACATAATCGTGAAACCTTAATGTAAGAACATTCCTTTGACAGTAAATATCGGATGCATTTGGTATAATGCTGTTTTATTTTTATGTAATATAAGATTACTAATATTTTCGCCATAAAAATATTATGATAACCTTGCACCGCAGTAAAACAATTACAATTACACGAACCTTTTATTCACCACTTTAAATATATGATGGCGTATATAGTTCACTATTTTCCACTGACAATCTTTGAGTTATTACTAGCCGGACGACGAGACACAGGTTTCTTGCTGGTCTTGTAATGAGTTTTATAATGAATAAGGTATATTTACTACTTCTCAAAGTCCCTTTATATTTCATCTTTTTTCGGCCCTGTTATAATGTGTGTGTAGTGTAAATAACAATGTAACATGAGTATTATAATAGCGAATATGTAACCAAGATATGATTATGACTATCACACTAAATACTATAGACTCAAATATTATAAACAGATTAACTAATATTACTACCATTGGCATGACGTTGGACTATGGAATACTGTTTTTGAGTCCCTTGACAACGACGAATTATATATATCTTAAGTTTTTTATATGTGATCGATATTCCTATGGTAAAAGAATATCTTTCTAAATGTTAAATAAAAATCCTAGTAACATATATAGGGTCCGAATGAAGAAGCAGATTTCAGTTTGCCAACAAGACTGGTAAATCTGCACAATATCTTTTAATCTATACATAATAATAAAAATATAATAGTACATAAGTTTTTTATAACACACACACACGACACACACAATATATAGTCATATATATATATATACATTACTATAAGTAAATATATACGTAATATTATAATGTATATATAAATATCATATGTATATATTAGAAATACATATACATAAAATAAATATACTTATATATATACACATTTAGTGTAATCATGAGTATACAATGCACTATGGTTTCCCTTCAAAACGGATAAATCCTTTTGCCTTTTACTAACTACTTCTGTGAGTGGAACAACTCAATGATTCTACCTCAATTTCTCTATAGCCCACTTTCCAGTCTAATAGATATTAGCTTAGAATTGTATACATAGTCTATATTATGAGAACATTTGATTTTCATATCAACTCTTTCTTTCTTTCTTAAATAATGAAGAAAAATAAGCAAAACATAATGAGCTTTCGCACGAAAAAATCTGATTTGTTGCATTTATCTTCTTGTATACACAGAATTACATTTAGATGCAACTGTTCATTATTTCTCATCAAAGACCGATTCACAGAGCACGACAACATATTACCTATAATAGTGCCCATAACCGTGCATATTAATGATGCTAAAAATGCTTTATTGATACCCAACAAAAAAGGATTACCATGCTACTGGACTGATATCCTTCTTCATTTTCGATACTTTTCCACGTTTTACGATATACCTCAGTATCCTCAAACAGTGATCTGTAAAATTTGTGTGATTTCGATAATTATCGGTCTTGTCATTAGGCCTCTTCTTCTTGTGAGACTGCTTTGACAAAACTAACCTAGACGAAAAAACAAGTAATGAAGAGCTGCCTCGGTTGATAGGTGGATTCGAATCATTTTTTGTAAATTAATAATTGTAGGGGATATCGCACCGCAGTCCCCCGCTACCAAATTGCCACTCTAGTTAACCACATTTGTGTAAATCGCAGGGGTCAGCGCCACCGGAGTGCAATGGTGATCCTCGCCTGGGAGAACCGCCTTCGTGATCACGTATCTCCTGTGCCAGGTAGTATGCTCTCCAAAACCACTTGCCGACCACCCTCGCCTATACTGACACCCCACGCGAACACAACACTTTAATACAAATTTATTGTATTCATTTCCGAGAAACTCATAGTAAATAAAACATTATATTTCATATCAGTTTTAAAAAACAAAACGTCATTTACAAGGTATCGAAAGTGAATACCCATTCATATCGTAGTGATTTTTTTTTTTTTTTTAACTCTACTCCGAAGTACGTATTATCGTGTACGCGCGCACTCAACACACAATATATCATCGAATCCATCCACCATCCATAAATACATTGAATACGTTTCACATTAATGGATATTGAGATGAATAGTTTACATATGTAATATAAATTTAAGCTCATTTAGTATAAGCACCAGATCTTCATTATATACGCTAGGCTAATATCGAATGGGAAGTTTAGTCCAATTTAGAAAAGGTATTTGACGGTTTATATGATTTTTACCGTAGAAAGAAAACGTAACATTTCCTTTATGGTCTAACTTACGTAAATATTCTGTGGTCGTTTGACCTACTATGTAAAATTTAATATATATATACACACATACATGATAATATATACATATATAATATACAGTATGTTTACGTACGTGTGTGTCTATAAGTGCGGCGTGCCTATTATGCGAACATGTAAGGTGTGCTTTATTAGTGCAGGCAGTGCGTGGGTATAGCTTCAATACAGGTTTTGTGGCCGTTGGTTTAAGAGCTAAAAGTTTTTTTTGCCCACATATACTTTCTTGGAGTCCGATAAAGTTATCCATATTTGAAATCCTAGCTACAGTTTTTTTTCTTTTTCCGATATAGGAACATTCTCATACGACAATCAAGATTTCAATAATTTCCTTCCAATGACATGTCGTTTACCGCCCTTCTATCATAAAAACTTCAGTAGAAATCCTCAGAACTTAGTTTCTCGGACACATTTTCAACCATCTTTAGTATCGCTTCTCGGCCTTTGGCTAAGATCAAAGTGTAGTATCTGTCTTATCAGCTTAATATCTGATCGATCCCCATGTGGGATCTACGATATTAAACATGATTTTTGGAAAATGGCGAAGTGCTAGGGGCTGCTCCACCTTTGCCGCGGATCGCCCGTATTGTCAGTACCTCCGGGATTGGTCCCTCCCCTCCGTGGAGAATTATCAATATCTAACAAATTAAATTAGATTAGTGAAATTTTTAGTGAATTTTTCAGGATGCCAAAGTCCACTCAGTAAACAGCTTTCCTACAACGGCGTCGGGAATTGTCCAGGTAATACAGTACCCCTCAACCTGATCCATCCCACGATGATTTTGATCACACATTGTATAACTTTCGGATAACATTATATGTCGGCCCGCGTGATTCTGTTAAACAGAAAACAAAAATGTTCAAACTGAATTTCTAGTGGTTTACTACACTTTTGCCATGGGTCGCTAGTACCTCCGGATGGATATACTTAATATAACTAATATAATTGAATATCGTTATACAAACGCAATATCAATCGATATTACCAATATTACATAATTTCAAATTAGGTTCTTAAATTTACAAATTTTTTACTCTGTAACACCTTCACTTCATCTACTATGCATATCAAGTGCAATTTAGAAACAAGTAGTGACGCATTTTTATACAGAAATGTAAATACAAGGACTTGAACCTACTATACCCACACAACACCAGGGGAACCATACTCTACAATAGCTTTCATAGAAATTACATTGAATAAGTCAATCTATAAGGAATACATCAACTAACTGTTTAGTTTTTGTGCATTGTCAATTTGTACTGTAGCTCCTCTCTCAATAGTTGAGTGACGCTTTACAGATTTGCTTCCTCGTTGCATAAGTGCATAAGACGAAGTAATGTGGTATTAGCTTTAACACAGAAATAAAAATACACTCCATCGCAGACTCGAACATACTCTATGCGAAAATCCAGAGAATCCAGAATTGTCCTAGCTTGATATGATTTAGTTGTCACATGTTCAGCGACATTTGACAATTTTACGATTTCATACCATTTTGCCTGGACTTACAGTCGATTAATATTTACAGTGGCTGTTTTTTTTTTTTTATGAAGCGTCTGTGTCATGATATACAAAGAATTAGAATCTTTGGTTTATGTTACATCCCTAGGTTCCGGATATTTGATTAATTTGTTTTGTCACACATTTCTGTGGACCAATAAATATTCACTGTTGCTCTAGTTGTCACTGGCCTGGAAAAGTCCACTGGAAACTTCTTGAATTTCAAATCCAACTAGGGGAAGGACTTTGTAATATGACAAACAGTGGCAGTGCTTGCTCATTACTGATAATTACATTAAAGTAGACAAAAGCCATTATGATATGTAATGGTGCTGCTTATTTGGTAATGTACTATATCTATATTTATTAGAAAATGTTATTTATCAATAGAAATTTGGTTTTAAACATTTGAAATCACGTAAAAAATTACATTAATTATAAGCAGTGGAACTTATTCACTTAAGTTATGGGTACTCAGAATTTGGATTTTGAAACCCACGAAGCAACAAGTTTTCTCCTTTTAGATATTAGTGTTTTTCTCCCTCTCAGGAGTTGTCAAAAGTTCAGGAATACTTCTTGTGGATTGATATTCAACCACTCAGCCTGTGTCATCCTCCTCTGAACATCGGTAAACCGAGTCAGAACGGTCATCAAATCTCTCAAGAAAACACTTGAGAGCCGCTTCCCGCTCAGAGGATTACACTAACAGTCCTCATCGTGGTTGAATATATTCCGAGAATCTCGGCGAGAAAACCCGGCAATCGCACTATAGAAAATTGATACCTATAAAGTAGGATCTACTTACTAGACCTTCTAATTTTCACTCTCAGGCCACATTCACTGAGACTTTTGTTCTACTACAAGGTTTTCGTGTTTTCATATGTTTGGTATTGTATGGTGCAATATGGGCGTGACATAGTTTTTCATTTTATATAGTTCTGCCTAACTCTGGCAACTATTATATCAAATGTTATAAGTAAAACACGAGTGAAACATAAGATATATACTATAGATAGTGTTAAACAAGACATTTATACATATCAAATACGCGCAGAGGGCTAAACTGTACTTAAACTATATGAACATAAATGTATTCTTCAGACCGTATTCCAATGCATCTCCAATAAAATTCTGGTTGAACATTGCTATGTACTTAGATAATATGATACGAAAATCAAAAGGTTCATGTACTTTAAACTATCATCTCGGTGGTTAATGATTTAAAAGAACAACATTCCTCTTCATATGCGAGGTTTCAATTTTAATTGTTAAATTCGGTTACGTTCGATCTATCTGGCCTATATACTTGGTTAATGTATTATAACTACACACATTTGTGAGTGCTAATCCTTGTGAAATAGAATAACAATAATGTTTATTTCCAGATGTCTTTCTTGCCCTTATAAATATCGCTCTACGAGTCCTCAGTCTACCGTTGCTGGGCAATTCGCTTATCTACCAACTGTAACTCTGTTTCCCTTCAAAACGCATAAATCTTTCGCCTTTACTAAAGATTTCCGTGGAGGGGAACAACTCAATGAGTCTTACTCAATTTTTCTATAGCCCACCTCGGTGGGTTCAAAATCAACATATGCAAAGTAAATATACATTGGTGACCTGAAACTAATCTTACAATATGGAGAGTCTGGATATTTACACTACTCTTGAGTTAGACCAGCCTAAGATTCCACTCACTTTCATCCTCAGCTAAAACATTTTTTTTCCATTGATATTACCTGTACAGCTACACACAAAACTATCGTTAGAAAATTAATGCTAAACATTCTGACACAATCAACGAAACTTCTTGAAATATAGTTGTTAACAATGGAAAACTGTTGCTACCCCTATTTTTCCAACTATTCAAGTTTAATATTTTGTGTTCCGACCCACTGTTGCCAAAAGCATAGGTTTATGCGTTGAAACATATATGCCATTAACTCGGCTGTCAATGCACGCCTTCCTCACGTCGCATACGTCCCCACGCTTGCAAGGCATTATTCACAGCTGCGGCACGATTGATACACGTATTTTAACATAGCTGCCGACACGTTTTCAATTGGCTTGAGATGTGGAGATTTGGGTGGATAAGACAGAAGCGCAATGTCGGGATATTCACGAAACCTATCTTGGACAACACAGCTGGTATGGGATGGAACAAGTAGAAGGGATCCGTTTCAGGAAACACCACAGCCCTCTGTTGGAAGGAAAACCACCTCTAGGTTCTCTACATGTCTTTTGCCAGTAGATCAGCCAGGGCCGACATCCGACATCGACAACCCTCCGGTGGATTCAGCCATTCCTCGCGATCACATTCTTTAATTGAAATAGGTTAAATGATAACAATGCATTAGATTAAGAAAAAGATGGCGTTCATTTCAAGTTAAAACAAACGCATTTCTTCAAAATATCGAGTGAAGGGAAGTTGAGGGGGCGGTATCGTTACCTACCAGGTGTTCTGTTGGTGCTATACATATCCCGTGCGTTGGTGCCTTGCAGACAAAAAAAAGTTTCTCGTCGCACATTTATTTAATGTCTCCTATAAGGGCTGAGGGTTGTTTGCACATCACAAGGAATATTCCCTCCTTTTCGGGAATAAGATCATGTTTACAGTGAATCCTCCATAAGATTACGGAAGCAACTGTTCGATACATTATGAAGCCGAGCGAGACCTATTCGAACCCCAAATACCAAACCTTCGTTCTGTTCGTTACTGATGTTTCGACACCCCTTCCTAACCATAGTTTTTCTGTGTAGCTACATTATTTCCTATTAACCCATTGGCAAACGGATTTATGTTCTGTCCCTGTTGGTTTTGGTGAAATTTTTCTACCTACAGTGGCTCCACATGTACTCCTCCGGCAAGGAGTCCTAGCGTAGGCCCTAGTTACCGAACCTGATTTTTCCCATTCATTGAATTGGCGGGAAAATTAATTCATTGGCTTTCGATGCTGTATTATTGTTACTGTTTATGTGATTGAATTGTCATTAGCAATATTTTTGCCATAAGATGATACAAAACACCTCCTTTCCGAAAGTGAAGGAAAAAGGCTAAACAGTGAAACCATAGGTAGTTTCTTGATAACTAAACTGGCTATTTGTATTAAGAATTGTAGAGACATCTATGGATAAAACAATAATAAACGTTGTATCAAAGTGGGTATGGCATCTATTCTTGCCATCCGCGGCGAATGGGTTAAAAACGCTACCTATTGGTGTTCGGAATTTAACGTTACTATAATTTTTACACTGTTCTTATCTAATAGTACTCATCCTTAATAATCTCTACTTGATGGTGAAGGGTTTCTTTTTAAGACACCTGAGACGGTGGTGTCGATTGTTTTCAAAATATTGTGTTTTCTGTATTAATAAATTATGTCACATATTTCGCAAATTTTAAATCACTTAATCGCATTTTCAAGTCCCCCAGAATAGCAGACAAAAATTTTGATTCTCAGAATAACAATAGTTACGCTACCCGCCGTTAGGGGATGGTGAAGTAGTTTCTGCTCTTTACAGTTTCATTCATTCAACATGAGTTACAGTCAGGCGATGAAATCTGAGGAAATATAGCCACTTTGTGGCCAAACCAAAAGCGGGATGGACAGAGAAAAAAGAGAGAAAGAGAGAGGGAGATAGAAAGGAAAAGATGGGAAGAGGGAAAGGGAGAGAAACAAGAGAGGAGTGCACAAAGTCAGCGATTATACATCCACAGTGGACTCTGACACCTTGGTAAGACTTGTGTATTACGAGGATGTATTAAGGGGGATAAGCGCGAACGCAGTCCCCCGCTACCAAAAATTGCGCACTCGAGTTAACCACATTTGGGTTATCGCAGGGGTCAGCGCCACCGAGGCAATGGTGAGCCTCGCCTGGGAGACCGCCTTCGTGATCACGGTATCTCCTGTGCCGGTAAGTATGCTCTGCTAATCCCCACGGCGCTCGACCCACGCTCGCCCTACTGACCTCCACGCGCGCTACAACATCAGAATACAAATTATCAACTCTGACATTAGTTTTCCCAAGAAAACTTCTAGTAATAACACTATAATTATATTTCAACTCTGTTTAGACAAAATGTTCACTTAGAAGCATTAAATGTGAAATTAACCAGGGATTCTCATCGGTTAATCCATACCAAATACTGACCTAGACCCGTTATTAATTTGCTGATCGGACGATAAGTGTGCTTCCACCGTGCTTATGATTGTTTGGCGAATGAATTAGCAGCAGTCTGTATAAAATATAATTTCATTTGGCATCACTCGTTACAAAGATTCATAACACAGAGTCATTTTTTACTGCTTTTTCGGCTCTAAAATACACAGGAATTGTACGAACCAAAACTTCAAAACTGCAGTGAACTATATTGCTAGTCTAATAGTGTTTTTTTTTTTTCTAGACTGGGTTTACATTATTCAAATTATTTCATTATTATGTCGATATCTTTTATCAATTGATTCTTACAATCCAAGTAAGGTTCTTTTTTATTTAGCAAAATCTATTTAGTTCCGAAATTTGAAACTTGCTTACAAATGCAAATTGCATTTACTTATAGTTACTCCTTCATTCGTTTTCTGTCTGCCTATTCTTTCACTCTTCGACGCGATGAAATTTACTTGTTTCCGTCCTATCGATTGAAGCGTCATTTCAATTAATTTTCTTTCACAAATTAATAAGAGCTACAATAATTGTATAAAGAATCCAAACCATTTAGCATACATATAAAATGCCAACAGCAATACTTGGTGTCCAGGCGGTCACCCATCAAGTACTGGACCATACCCAACGTTGCGTAACTTCGCTGATCGACGAGAAGCGGTGGCTTTCAAATGGTATGATCTTTTCATAGATATACCAACATTAAGCTACTTTTCCTTTCTCTCTCAATTTTCCCATTCATTTTATATGCTGTATATTTCCTTTTGTATCAAACAATTTTCAAGACATCCAATCATATCACTGAGATGCTCCACATTATATACATCAACCTTAATTTATCACACTTCAGTCCATTTAGCTGAGATCCTCCACAGTAAATATACATCAGCAACCAACCACTATCGGATAAGCATGCTAATCAACGTCACTTTTATGCACCGGCCTTAAACCTTTTTACGCATTTTTTTGAACTGTGGCAACTCTGTAAAGAATGTAGGGTGCACAAGTAAAGTATAGACTGAGTACAATGATATTTGTACACGGTTATAAAATTGCACATTGGGCCACAGTAAGTAAGAGATTAACGACATAGCTTAATCTAAGCAGATAATGCCTGATTATTACTGAATTTTGAATTTTCACTACTGTTCATATAACTTTTGCTGTTCTATATTGCTGCTGGTTTTGGTATATCAGTATCATCATTGTATTTGCACACTTGCTATGATTATTACTTGTATTTCCATTATCACCATCATTTTCATTTGCATTAGCATGGGATTGGTCAAAAGCGAGCCAATACATATTAAATTGATACCATAATACTTATTCGCCGATACAGTAACCGTGAAACATATTATAAAGAAAATTCCTCTGCGTAATATCTATTTGGGTGTACTGCAAATATGATTGCGCAGAATTGTGTTTTTCGCATTGTGTACATGCGTGATTATTTTTGATGTAATACAGATTACCAAGATAACTTCATCATGAATTATATTACAGATTCCCCTGCACTCACAGTAAAAACAATTATACTTATAATTAGTAGTGCCCTCACAGTGCTCAGGTCATTAATTAAGAGTAGTAAAACGCCGGTCCTGCTGACCCTGACAAGAGGCCCGTGCCGCTTTTCAACACACTTCTTTCATGCACTGTCACTAGTGTGAGAGAGAGAAAAGAAAAGACCGCAGAGAAAGAGGAGAGGGAGACAAGAGTAATACAAAGACTGGGAGAGAGAGAGATGCAGGGGGAAAGAAAGAGACGGGGAGAGTGGCGTGAGAGAGTATAAACAATAAAATAAACTGCAACCGTTCCACTATTTCTTATAAAGATTTTAAGTAAATAATATGGACAGTGAATCTTCTCACTCAAGTCATAGTTTCTCTGACCACATCAGTCCCTGTGGTATTTCGCACATGTAAGAGAAAGGTAACGTGTCATTTGTTTGGTAGGAACATGGAATGATTTGTTTTTGAGTCCCTTTGACAAGCGACGAATTAATATATATCTTCGTTTTTTTATATGTGATCGATATTCCTTTGGCAAAGATATTTTTTTCTAAACTTTAAAAATAAAATCCGAGGTTACATATTGGTCAAGAGCTAAAAAGCATATTTCATATTTTGCCAACAAAGGACTGGTGAATCGGCACATATCTTTTAATCTATACACATTTAAAATATTAGAATGCATAATTATATATACTAAAAAAATATATATACATCTTATGATAAAGATATAGTAATATATACAAATATACATAGATACAAATACTATTTTGTATATATATAAAAAAAATATATACATATATATTCAAGTATATACATACAATTTATTATATCATGAGTATACAATTCCTATTACCGCCATTGAACTTCTTTAAAAGAAAATAGCAGGATTTCTTTCAATATACGTTTCTTAGTCTTAATACCTATTTTCATATGTCCTCGATCCCTTTTATTGATACTAAAGGTTCTCATTTGTTAATTCTTGGTTTCCCTTCAAAACGGATAATACTTCCGTGGAGCGGAACAACTCAATGAGTTCCTTACTCAATTTTTTATAGCCACTTCCCTGGTTCAAAACAAGATATGAGATTATAATTGAAATATATTTCTATATTATGACGAACGTAGATTTCATATCAACGGTTTCTTTCTTTCCTGAACTTAGAACTTAGAAAATTAAATTAATGAAAAAAATGGTAAGCAAAACATAATGAGCTTTTGCACAGAAAAAAAATCAGTATAGTTGCATTTATATCTTGCATACACCTCTTAATTACATTTACATTTACATCAACTGTTCATTTATTTCTCATTAAAAGACCGATTCACAGCACTACATCATATTCCTATATATTGCCCAATTATACCGGCATTATAGCTTCAATGGTAAAATACTTTTTTTGATCTCAAAAGAAAGACTATAACCATGCTACTTATCTGAAAATTTCCTTCTGCATTTCGATACTTTTAAACGTTTACGAAATACTCAATATTCTCAAACGAGTGATCTTAAATTTGTGTGTTTCGAATAATATATCGGTCTTGTCATTAAGGCACTCTTCTCCAGTGGCTGCTTTTGACAAACTAACCTAACGACAAAGCAAGCAAAGAAGAGCTGCCAAGGTGGACGGTGAATATTGGATCATTTTTCTGTGAACCAAAACTGTTAGGGGGATAGCGCGAACGCAGTCCCCCGCTACCAAAATTGCCGCACTCGAGTTACCCATTTGGGTTAATTCGCAGGGTCAGCGCCACCGAGTGCAATGGTGATCCTCGCCCTGGAGAAACCGCCTTCGTGATCACGGTATCCCTGTCCAGGTTAGTATGCTCTCCAAAACCACGCGCCGACCCACCCTCGCCTATACTCTGAGAAGCAACGCGCACTACAATCCTTTATACAAATATTAGAGTTTGATTTTAGTTTTCGCGAAGAAACTCCTAGTGAATAAAACATATAATTAAATTCAACCCAGTGTTTAAATTAAAATGTTATTTACAAGCATTCAATGTGAATTACCCGTTACATATAATAAAGTGAATGTTTTTTGTTTGTTTCTTTTTTTGCGACATTAATTTCAACATTCTATACCCGTAAGTAAACACATGTACTGCGCAC